AACAGATTCTGGTAATCAGTATGAGATGGTTGGAGAGTCAGAATTGCCGGACTTTCCAACACCAGTTATTGTAACAGACAAACGCGGACGATCGAAATGGACGGTTTCCATACCTCCGAATCACGAATTTCCTCTTACTCCCATACAATATGCCGATATATGCGCGCAAAATATGGAAGTCGCTGCCACTGTTGCAGATCTTCATAGCCACGTGCACCGAGAGCATTTTGCACATTATGATTACTACCATGTGGACCCAAATTTCATGGACGTTGCTGAGGCTGAGGCACATGGACTTTTACCCGGAATTAAGGCAAAGAACAATGTATTGAGGGAAAAAGATGGTTCATTGGTGGGCGAAAACAAGGACGGCTTGATCGATTCAGATATCTGTGACAAGACTCTGACTTTTGTGCTGGAAACATCAGATGCGGGACTCGGAAAGGGCTTGATGATGCTGTGGACCGCGTTCGGTTTGGCTCAAAAAGAAGGAAGGCATTTCTTCGTAGATGACTCAAGATGGTAAGCTTTGAGAATCTAAGGGTCATTTCTTTCCTCGTTACTGACAACAACAAGGGCATACGGCAAATATACAACATTCTTCAAGCCACCTCCGACTCCCAAATGCAGACCCCCACCGCGCCACGAAATGCTTCCATGCCCGCATCATGCTCGTCATTTAGTAGTTTCCGCTGCTACCGCAACTCATATCTTGGGAGGGTCTTTCAACGATTATTTTGAAGACGCGAAAAAGATGGAAGTCTATCGACAAAAGCCTATCTTTGAAATGGCTCGACTCGGTTACGAAGCCCTTTTCCACCTATCCGACGATGACAATAAATACGTTGACAGCAGAGCCGGGGAATTCTCGGCGAAGTCCACACTAGACCCATCAAATCAGGAAAGCGGGATGGTCATTGGTATACATGTTCGTCACGGGGATAGGAGACCATACGAATTCCAGTATAAAGACAGCTATATTCCATTGACAGTGTATAGCGACAAAGCACACATGTTGATAAACGAGAAGTTCAATCACTCACTTCCGAGTGGGGAACACGACACTTTGGCTAAAATGGCAAGTGCATTGGTCATTGCCTCTGATGACCCAGATGTCTATGATTCCGAAGAATTCAAAGACGTCTCTAGAGCGCAGGAGCAGATTCGACTAGCATCCAAGAATGCTCTTGATGCAGCCGCTCCTAAACCTAACACTCCAGGGCCAAGGAAATTCGTAGATGATACAGTAGGATGGGAAGGAGGATTCTATGCTGGCATGTTCTGGAGTTTAGGCAAACCTTCGGGAACTCCGAAAACTGCTGTCGAAACCCCGGATACGACATTACCTCCTACTACAGAAGCTTTACGATTGAGAGAATTGGTCGGAAGGGCTTATTTGATGGATTTGGCGGTGTTGGGAAAAGCAAGTGACAAGATTGTCTGTACAGTCAGTGCCACGGGCTGCAGGATTCTTGCCGTGATGATGGGATGGGAGAAGGCGATTGATCAAGGGGGATTCGTCAATGTGGATGGAAACTTCAATTGGAGAGGGGTGGAATGGTAAAAAAAGTCGAGCACTTGTCTCCTCTTTCATGCATGCAATTAAACTATTCTTTTGTTCATATTAATACCTCTGGGTAGCGGGATTTTTTGGCGTAAAAGCATTGCCCCGGCGTTGGAAATGGAGTTTTGGGCTTTATGGGACAACTCACAATCGTGATGGAGATTAAAGATAAATAGGAAGCATGCATTGCACGGTGTAGGATTACGTCTTGCATGATACCAGGCCATTGGTTTAGCATTTTTTTCTATAGAAATTACTTGAACAGTAGTATATTCTTTCTCAATTCCAAATTGTCCTATATACCCTGGTGATGACTGCTGAATAGCTTATAAATCACGAAGGAAGCAGTGATGCTTTCTCTGATCGATCCTTACTTCCTTGACTACAGCATATTCGTCGCTTGTTGCTTCTACGGCGCAAAGTTGCGCAATCGAGAAGTCTGACACCGGATGAGAAGCAAGGCACGGCAATACGCATACCTACCTACGATATGTATATCTATGTGCCGCCTTCACCAAACTTTCAAATTGTCTATTCGGGATTGGGATATTCAAAGTATCTGATTGTTACACTCGAATTGGAACATTGGAAGAGATCATAGGACCTGTAGTCTGAATTTCGGAAAGCATTATGTTTATTCCAATTAATATCAATATTTCAATTCACATCAAAACTGTTATTCATATTAACATCCTAATTCAGATCATACAATAACTCTCATACTTTTATACTTTATTACATGACTTGATCTAGTACAGTTAACATCTAGCTTCCGCCACACCCAAACTTTTCCGTCAAAACCTCGGCACGATGATTTTGACGCTAGGTAGGCTCTGAAACATACAATCCAGCATATAATCATTTGATGTAGTCTAGTAAAGATCTAGAGAACCTACGCTATCCACAAACTTTCCATCAAAACTTCCAAGGTTCGACAAGATGATTTTCTCACAAGCTCTAAAACGTTGTAGGTTGTTCTTTCTCGCTCAGTATTACTTATGATGAGGAAGTAAAGACCGACTCGGTCATCCTCTCCCTAACATGTCGCATGTTTTCATATGATTCCGCTGTTCATCATCTTATCCATCATTCTTCATTCTTCACCCGTTAAGGTAGCATTTCTTACCACCAGAAACTTTCAAAATCAAGCCTCTGTTAACAGTTTTATTCATTGAGGTTGCAAAATCATCATGGGCCTCCCAAGAGACATAAAAGGGCTCTCGACTAGCAACCAGATCCGAAGTATGTCGATGGAAAGCTTCTTGGAATCCTGTCCACCTACTCCTGCTCACACTCCCTTGGTTCGATCGCCCGTCAGAATACTCGGGAGTGGGTTATCAGCTTTGACACTCGCACGCGGTCTTTACAAAAAGAACATTCCCTTCAAGATCTTCACAAAAGATCGTCGACCTGATGAGAATTCAAAACGACATGATTATAGTATTTTGTTGCCAGTGTGGATTGTCAAAGACCTAAGGAAACTGCTGAACATTGGCGAAAAAAGGTTTCAAGATCGCCTTTTAGTGCCTAGCACCACACCCTTTCCCCAGAGAACAACCAATACCAAAGTGAGAGTTCACCGCGGTATGCTAGAACATCTTTTGAGGTCACGATTCAAGGATGAGATTGAGTGGAATTGTGAGATTAAGGTTAGATCAAGCGGGTCGCCTCGCTTGGTTTTCCCCCCGCATGTCGATGCATTGGAAGGGAATATTACGTTCGACTGCATGGGCGTTCATTCTCCGCTCCAATGTCCAGGTAGCTATAGAGAAATCAGCCCCATTGTAGTATTCCGAGGCACTGTCATCTTGTCAAAGACTTTGTGGGATCACAAGTTTCGAGATTGGTTTCCTGGCAATAAAGCGCAAATCCATAAGAAGCTCGACAGAACCAATTTGGATCTCATAATCAACCACACTGACACGCAAAGTGGCGAAGTGAGCTTAACTTACATCTATTCACGGCCGCGCCTAGATAGTTTGATAGACACTGAAGATGAGCTCTGGAAACCGACGCGACCAACTTACGAAGCAGCATCCCCTGTCTTGATCGAAAAGTTTCTCGACGAAATCAAAAACTTCAGGCAAAATCATGATCTACCTGGCCCTTATAAAGAGATTTTCAATCCCGAAACGATGAAAGAAAACAGAATTTTACATTGGCTGTTGAGAACTCAGCAGGTGGATCAGCCAGAACTTATCAAATTGTGGACGGGCGATGAAAAGATAATGAAATTAGGGGATGCTATAATAACCATGCCCATAGTCGAGACCACCGGTGCTGAGCTTGCTATCTCCGATGGTTTGGAAGTGGCTGACCAGATTGAGAGGTACGGGGGAGCAAGGTTGCACAGCTGGTTTATTGAAGGCTGGAATTGGAGGCTTACTGCATTTCGGGAGAGTAATCGCCGTATACTTACAAGGTTTCGATGAAGTATAAAGTTGCACGTGAGATTAAAACCCCTAGGCAATAGGCAATAATCGGTTTCAGGTGAGGGGCAGAGATTATTACTTATTCTATGGCATCCCTTTCCGCAATTTCTCAGCCTCAGGGGTAGCGATAATTGATCACAAAACATAAACTGATCACATTAAGCGTTATCGAGGGAACTTTTTCGATAGATCAAAAATTCATTATATCGCATACCTTCCTCATGCTATAGGTGAAACACTGTCGATCTTCCAGCACTCATCATATAAACACATTCATTCTTCATTACGATTCAGAACATCTACACTCTCCATTCCCATATCTCACCGTCAACGAATTTCCCTTTAAATGAAGTCCCCAAATTCCATCATCTGGCCGGTCCTATACCTCTACATAGCCCATTCTACAAACGCCAAATCCCATTTCACAACCCATTCTACAGAAGTCCACGCTCTGCATCATAACAAAGCTTTACACCCTAATAAGAGAGACTTTCTCTCATGTGAGCAAACATATGGACAAGGTTCAATTCCATGTGGTGGAAGCGACAGTAAATATTGCTATGATCCTACGACTGGGGAGGTGAGTTGTCTTTTCCTTTCATGTACACACTGTGCTAGAATGATTTCCGAGCCCCTTGAGAAATTTCTTCACGCACGTATCATTCACCATCTTCTGGCAGTCCTTTGGTACTTTATAAGAATCTGGACTCTGAAGACTTCTAAAGAGTAGTGGTCTTTCCTACCCTCAGAGTACCCTCTCAATTGTTCATAAAAGTTTCGAACTTTGGAATTCAAATTGGGAAGGTGTTTGAACTTCAACTCTGAAGGAAGACAACGGAATGCGAGCATGTGAAAGCTTGTACTAATGAACTTATGACATAAACAGTCGTGCTGCATGCAAGATTATGGGTACTGTGGCATAGGAGATGTATGCGCGTCGATTGAGGGTTATTGCTGTCATAAAGTATGACATTTATCAAATCTCCAACACCCCCCAAAGATCAATGCTAACTCAATATGCTCCACGCCAGGACGAAAACGAACAAGTCTGTATGTTCCGTCTCGGCATCAGCACCCCCGATGATTCTACACCCGACCCCGATTCTGATATCGATTCGGGAGACGCAGAGTCCGGTTTGACATCCGTCTCATCCTCCTCATCGGCTTCTCAATCACAATCAAAATCGCAATCAAGCACGGAAATGAAGTCGGATGATGAATCGTCTGATTCTGACCTCGGAATCGAATCAGATGATTCGGACGGTGACTCCAGTCCACCCATGTCCATGCTAATAAATGCACTGAACTCGGGTCCCCTCGCCGACGAAGACGAAGACGGAGACCCAGACTCAGCTTTGGACTCGGGATCAGATGTCGATGCTGACACGGGAACTAATGTGCACCCTGAATCCACCGCCGTGGTTTTGAGTCTAGGGACTGCAGTAGCGTCTGCGATGCCCCTTGACACGACGAACAAGGATGAGACTTCTAGTGTTCTAGCTTGGGATACTTCGACGCGAGTCTTGTCTTCGGCGGTAGTGGAGACGAGCAGCGCTACTGCTGTGAATAATGCTAATGAGCCGACATCATCGGCTCTTCCATCGCAATCTATTTCGGAGGGGCTTAATGCCAGCGCGACAACTTCTGGCATTGATGGAACTTTTACCGGTGGGTCTATGCGGATTGGGAGAGAATCAGGCTTGGAAGGAGGGATGGTAAGAATCTGGTTGATTTGCGGTGTATCTTTTGTGGTTTGGGTTGTGTTGTGATGAATGGAGGGGTATTTGCGGATATCGTGTGCTGCAAGCGAGTCTTACGACATTAATTCAGAGTTTCAAATAGTTCAGACTGCAGTCCAACAATCAAACCCCTTTGAATATTCAATTGTTTCTAAGCACATTGAAAGTGTTTAAGATATTGAAGGGGTTTTCGATTATTAAACTGATTGAAGAGATTGAATGGATGAAATTAATGATTACAGCTCGAAAATCTTAAAACTAGAATTTTAGAATGAAATACAATCCAAGAATCAAAACCTTCAGAATATTCAATGCCTTTGAAATATTTTCAGTATTTCAGACATCAAAATGTTTTCAATTGTTGAATCGGTTTAAGATGATCAATCTACGAAGTCAATCTAAAAAATCAATGATAGTGTTCTCAAAATCTCAAGTTAGAATCTTAGAAGGAATACAGTTTGGACAACTATAGAAACACGGGTAGGAACTATGAATGAATTACCTAGCTATTATTATCTACACGCGATTAAATACCATTGTTTAACTCTTTTTTTTTTTCACTTTCATCCGCCTCTCTCTACACCACCATTTAATTATTGGCCTTAACATCCCCTCCATACTGCACCCTTCTAATCATCGAACGATTGCATCCCTTGATATCTTGAATACCCGCCAATCCCATGCTTTGATCCACATCCGCCAAAATCCCTTGCAAGACCTGTTTGGCTCCCTGTTTTCCACCTATTGCTAATCCATAGATAGCAGGTCTTCCTATTAGAACGGCCTTGGCACCTAGACTGAGGGCTTTAATAACATCCACACCAGTGCGGATGCCACTATCGAACAAGACTGTCAGTTTGTCACCAACAGCATCGACAATCTCAGGTAACATTTCTAGAGAGCCAACAGCACCGTCGAGTTGACGACCGCCGTGGTTACTAACAATGATGCCGTCGACCCCGGCTTTGACGGCTTCCAATGCATCGTCTGGATGTTGGATGCCTTTCAGAACAATGGGTCCATCCCAATTATCTTTCAAGAGTTTGATTTGATCCCAGGTATGCGCAGCACCGGAGAAGACATCACCAACCCATTCCTGGGAAGCCTCAAAAAGCTTCTCCTCTGGAGTGGCATTGTATTTTTCGTTGAACTTTCGGCGGAAGACAGGGTCAGTGAAGCCAGTTTTGTCACCGACACCTTTCATGAAAGGGACATAACCTCCATCAAGATCAGCGGGTCTCCAGGCTAAAGCCCAAGTATCGAGAGTTACGACGAGGACTTTGTAGCCGGAGTCCTTTGCGCGTTTGAGGAGGGAGAGGGTGATTTCGTCATCTTGAGGCCAGTAAAGTTGATACCAGCGGTGGCCACCGGGGCCGTTAGATTCGGCTACTTCTTCGACTAGGAAAACGAACCATTAGTCGTGACTCCTCATCAAGGCATAGGATTCATATTCTCACTGGATGAAGACGAAGCGGTGCTCAAAATGTAAGGTACGCCAATCTCCGCACAAACTTCCGAGAGACCAGTCTCCTTGTCTTCATGGAAGATCTGTTGAACACCAACTGGAGCCATGAGGATGGGACTATCATATTCCTGGCCAAAGAGATTGACACGGAGATCTCGCTTGGTAGTGGGACGCAACATTCGAGGTACCATCTTCCATTGTCTAAACGCGAGCCTGTTGGCATCCATAGTGGCTTTTTCACCGGCTCCTCCTGCTACATAGTTGTATGATGTGGATGCAAGCTTAGAGCGTGCTTGTTCCTCGAGTTTGTTGGGGTCGGTGGTCACAGTTGGGACCGTATTGGCAAACATGCCATCTGAAGGAAGGTAAGTTAGCTAGCTGCCTGGTCTTGTTTTGAACTGAAGGGGACATTGCATAGGGTATCATACCTCTATAGATTTCGTTCTGAAAAGCACCGTATTTTCTTTCGTGACTCTCTCCATGAACGGATTGAGGATGCTGTTTCTGCATATTTGGGGACATTTTGAAGGTAGTGTTTCGTTGGAGGGGAAGAAAGAAAAATGGTACTTATTACACGAAATGATACTATACTGTACAATTGAGAATGAAAAGAGATAGAAATGACTTATTGATTTTATCGCTATAATGGTTCTTATACTCACTCTATTTTGTACCGGTTTCTTCGGTGAAATATGCGGAGAGTCTTGATAAATAATAACAGTCTAGGAACCTATTTACCGGTACCTGACGTAGAAACTATTGCATTTAGTGTTCAGATACGTGGTACCTACGTCATAGCAACCATTTTATATTGTGTATACCGAAATCCAAGGACGATGAAGTAGCCCGGGAGTTAAGACGACGAGAACGTTGTTAAATGCATTCAAACATCCGAATGTGAAGTTTCTCGTTTTATACTGAAATGTATAACTATAGAAATGGGTTTCACATGAGATTGGTAAAAGGTACCTACCTAGGAAGATGTAAGGTCTGACCTAGGATATTGAATCCCAAGTATCTATCATCACTTGGCACGCACGGTCATGATCACGCTTAGATACGATACCTAGAGCTAGACTAGACTCTACGAAGAAGAAAAAAGAGCCAAAAATTGATCATTCTAATAAATTCAATAATAAATCAACTGATAATAAAACCTTCAAAGTTAATAAGATGAAATAAATCTTTGAATAATCTTTAGTTATAAAAAATTATTAATGAATATTTTTGGAACAGAATAATTGGATTATCGAAGGGCTTTATTGGTGGTCAATTCCGGCCTGTTTTTTCTCCTATGAAGAGCTAGATAGATAGAGCAGTGCCACAGAGCCAGTAACAAAGTCAGCAACAAGAAGACAGTAAAGTCGATAGAGAAAGAGAAAGAGAAAGAGAAAGAGAAAGAGGATCCACCTCAGAGGTACGAACTGCCACAATGGAATCATCATGCATAACTTTGCATGCCACTTCAGATATATACACATGCAGGTGTACTTTAAAGGCGTCGAACATACATGACTACGAAGTATTGTTGACTTGTCATTTTGTGGCCTCAACATCGGGAGACAAGGGACCACACAGGCCAAACAAATGCAATCATATTCGAGTAAACGTATTACGAATGATATCTTCATCCATTGTCATTCAATCACTAACTTTTTCAATTCTCTGAGTGGCTGCATATCACTACCCCGAGTTGCTACAGACCCCGCATCTATGAAAGAACTAATCCCCGCTCGGAAGGAACCAACCAACATATATTTGGTGCTATTGACTGATTGACTGTCATCCAAATCGTCACTACCACATTCACTGAAGCACACTCGCATATATGCAAGTATGCCAAACCTCGGCGTTGCATATCGGCTTTAAAGTCCTCGTAGTAAAATGGTGTAAAGGTGGTGGGTGTAGTGACAGATAGTGTAACCCCGCTCTTTCACCTGTTATTTAAAGTGATTCGAGTCTCTACAATTTCCATTCTTTTCGAGACTAACACATCCACCTACCTATCTATCCATACATCTTTTTTTTCATATTCTTTTCTTTCCTTGAACTGAAAAGAACTCGTGGGGAATCAAAACGTGTTTCGCCTCGCCAAGGAATAAATCGCAGAAATGGCAGCAGCAACAACCCAATCCTTTGATATTCCCAAACAATACAAAGCTATTGTTTACGACAAACCGGGAACTATTTCCACAAAAATCGAGCAACTGAATACACCCGAGCCCGGACCTGGCGATGTGCTTGTGAGACTGTGAGCTCACACTGCGCCGTTTTTATCGATGTGATTTCGCTGATTGTGCTGTCTTGTGTAGTACCCATAGTGGTGTTTGCCACAGTGATATGGGAATCTGTGAAAATAGTTGGCGCGGTCGTAAGCTTACTACATCAGTTAAGTATACGGTGATGTTCTAATGCCTTGAAAGTTCCTTATCCGACGCAAGCTGGGCAAGTTGGCGGCCACGAAGGTGTTGGAGTCGTCCACAAACTAGGCCCGGGTTCAGAGAATGGTCGAGTGAAGGTTGGTGATCGTGTTGGAATTAAAGTGAGTTCATCTCGAGAACCAAGGGGACCGTGATTAATTGAGAATCTTCAAAGTGGATCGCCTATGCTTGTGGTTCTTGTCTTCCATGTCTCGAGGGCAAAGATGGAGTCTGCTTCGTAAGTAACCCCAAATTCTGAATCTGCCTTATAATTCAAGACTAAATCTTTCGTTTTGTAGAATCAAAAAATCTCTGGCTATTATTGTTCGTGAATCGAGGCTTTCCAAGTGGGTGATATTTCTAATTCAAGAAAACAGACCCGGGGACATTTCAACAATATGCGCTCGCGCCAGCGAACTATGTAACACCAATTCCAGATGCTCTGGATTCTAAGGACGCTGCTCCTCTACTATGTGCTGGAGTCACGACGTGAGTTTTCACAGCCTCAATTCGGTCGCTTAGGCGGCCGGGCCGCCTCAGGGGCCGGTCACCCCTCGAGTAGGCGAAGCTCACAGAAACTTTTGAGTTTAGGTATTCAGCCTTGAGAAAGAGTGATGCTAAGAGTGGACAATGGGTTGTTATCGGTACAGTCATTTCCGAGTTTCATGAAGTCTTCAAACTAACATACAATAGCCGGTGCGGGCGGTGGTCTTGTAATCTCCTCCCCAGAATCTCTGATCGGGTCGCATACTAACCTACCTAGGGCCACTTGGCTTGCCAAATTGGAAGTCGTGGTATGGCAATGAGAATCATTGGAATCGATCATGGAAGTAAGGAAGAGTTGGTGAAAGAATGCGGAGCAGAAGTCTTCATAGATCTTACCAAATTTGACGATAAAGCGATTGCAGAGGAAGTCAAAAGAGTCACTGGTGGAATCGGAGCATCTGCTGTCATTGTGTGCACTGCTTCTAATCGCGCTTATTCTCAAGCGCTTAGCTTTTTGAGATTCGGCGGAACGTTGGTCTGCGTTGGAATGCCAGAAGGCGATTCCCAACCTATAGCCAACTCATTCCCTGCAGCCATGGTAAAGATCCCCGTTATCACATTTGTAACATGCGCTAATATCAACAGGTCGCTCAAGAATGGAAAATCAAGGGTTCGGCAGTAGGTAACCAACGTGAAGCATTGGAGGTACTTGAGATGGCGGCCCGGGGAATTATTAAGACTCGTATTCGAATGGAGAAGATGGAGAACCTGACGGAAGTGTTCAAGGAGATGTCGGAGGGTAAAATGCAAGGAAGAGTTGTACTTGATCTGTCATAGTGGGAGAGAGGATAACTTGCATTTGCCACACATAAGTTATCATGCAGGGGAAATTCTTTTGAGGATTTCTACAACTAGCATTGAGCAGAGCTGAGATATGAATGACAGACATATGATGAAAATATGAAACGATTTCCTGAGATCTGTCACATCGAGGGGTAACTCTATTTCGATATTTGTGGATTGTGCTCTTAAAGTAACACTGTGCCTACATGCTGATACCCAATCCCATCTGCAAAAGGCGATATCACCACTGATGCCTCCAAATGCCATGCTCGCGATGATTGTATGATTGGTAGAAATATCACAAGCTGAATGATTTGGTACCGGCAGTTTGGTAACTTCCAAAATCTTACAGGTTACATCAGTACCGTATCATAACCGAAAGACCTATAGAAGTTCCTGGAAATTTGAATGCGTCGAGAGTTGACATGCTAGTTTAAGATTTGCTGCCATGCGAAGATGTGGATGAGAAATGAATTTTGTGGCCCACTTGCCGCGCTGCGCCACGAACATAGTAATATCCTTACCACCTTCATTTTGTCACTTGACATTCAAATGATGCGGAAGAGTGCCCGAACATGCAGGAAGAACGCGTTTGTTTCTTTTTTAGGTTGAAACTTCTAACTTCGATTGGAAACAATACGGGGTGGTGAAGAGAGTGGCCTAATACACTACTGCAATGCACCAACTCCGAAAGTTTCTTGAGTGCTTAAGTGTCATACTTTTCATTTCTTTCGTCGTAATGTTGACCATTGATAATTGAGTAGTGATGAGTGCCCAGCGTCCAACTCAAGGCCACAATCCCGCAATCCTCAATCCCCCTACTGCAGTTGATAGTCGACCCCGGGGCGATCCATAATGAACGTTGAGTTATTTCCATGACCACTTATTTCATTCTTCACTCCTTTTGCGGTAATGATTGTTGCAATTAGCATAAACGGTGGCATAACGATGGCAAATAGTAGGCGAATTAATGATGAAGGGGGAATTGGATGAATCGAGGATTGAAGGAGTGAGCCTTACGGTCCTCCAGCACTGAATATAGATACCTCATCTATAGATCTTTTGAAGGAATTTCATAAATTTAATTGGTTGAATGTTTCAATCAGCTCGAATGTCAGCCTGGTCCACCTCTTAGTTACTACCTAGATACTTGTGTATACTGGCTCGAGACTGGTCGCTTATCGTATGTAATCTATCCGGCTGTTCTGTTGTTTCGGGGTTCTGTATGGCTCTCCGTCACTTGGTCTCTCCGTCCGTGCTTTTGGAATTTCTCCGCCATCCCATCTTTCCAATCCCAATAACACCATGTCGAGACCATCCAGTATCGTCCAACCAAAATTTAACGCCGCAAGCGACTATTGTGGCTTGACTCCATACATCTGCTTGATTGTGCTAGGTGCATCGCAAACTATTACCAAAATGGTAAAGTAATAATGTGCCAACAAGTCTCTACATCGTACATCATACATCTTATTCATATGAATGCCTTGTCCTCCTACCCAGCCGACCTCTAAAAGGGCCCATGCGACCGCATTTTTGACCTACTAATGATACCAAATTTTGTTACTATTCCAAAGGCTGAGCATCCATTGCTTCTAATCCTCTGCATACTAACAAAATGACGAAAAAGTTTATAGGTAGAAGAAAGGAGAATGCACAAGTTCGTAAGATATATAAGTCACAAAGTCATCAGCATCATCATGGGATTCACAAATTGATATCCTACGCGTATTTACCTTCATGTCGTCCCCGCTTCCAAATTTCAGCGACCTTTATATCAGCAAGACCATGCATGCAACACGTAGTGGTCAGATCTACTCCCATGAACCCTTGAGAAGAGAAGTTACTTCTGGTGATGGAGATTCTGATAGCGATAGCAACCATTCAGGATACCCTGATAATGACGACGGCGATGAAGAACATAATCAGGGCAGAGAGAGAGGATCCCAGGAATTTGTCGTCTTCTCGGAGGATGAAGATTCTGACGATGAGCCCCTACACACTGTGCTCGCTGTCGATCATTGTAGATTGGTACGATCAAGGAGACAGTCAAGAGAGCAACTGAGTCCATACTTCGCTTTTCAGGTTGGTGTGGCGGAGGTTGAAACCCGCAGTATTCGAATTGGCTCATTAAGGGAAGGAGGAGAAGAGAAGTGCTCGTGCGGAAAAGAGCTTTGCTTCCACATTGCCAGGCTAAAGTCGGCAATGGGCATAGACGCCGGCGATGACTGTTACGAACGCCTTAACGAGCGTGGCATGTCCAATGTATGTGACGACCTTGGATGGGATTTCTCAGACGAACCTTATCTTTTTCCAGCCCCTCAATGGTCGCTTAAGAATGAGAGACCAAGGACAAGTACAAAAACCCGCGAGAGGGAGGCTGACGTCAGGGATATGTTATCATTTTTTCATCCACAAGCAGTTGCCGACGAGTACCGAGATATCTTTGATTTCGCTGTGCACAACGACGCCGTCCTTGTTCCCTATAACCTGGAAGCAACTCTGGCCAAATTACTGACTCAAGATGACGTCGTCTTTCATCGTTTTGAACAACACATCCCCAGAGAGCGCCGCGATATTTTGTATCTACACAAGATGGAGGACAAATTCAACGAATCACTCCGACAACTAGATGATTATGCAGCTTCTGGCAACCTTTCGAATTGGGATGCAATGACGCCATTCGACAATGTTGATTTTGAACACAATGTACCATGGTGTGCCCAAGCTCTCATACACATTAGTGATTCAATGAGGGACAATCTGAGATGGAGAGTCGGCATGAACAGGATCAATCAGTTACAAGCAGCAGAAATATTGATCCGAATGCTGGAGGCTATTCGCTCGCGCAATGTCGACGTATACTCTAATTATTCCTTTCGGCGCAACAGACCTCATGGAGAACAGTTGACGAATCGAAACCTCTACCTGAACTTACTTGGTCCACAATCTGAGAACATTCCAGATAGAAGCGACTTTATCGTTGATGCGCTCGAATATTTGCCTGGGAATGTCGTTGCCGCAGGTGATTTTGTTAATCGCTTAGATCGTCTTCGCGCCGACCTTAGTAGTGTCGCATTCGTTTCTCCAAGACGCCTTTATGTGAACAGATTGGGACAGCTCATTTCGAAGCTCAGGGTAAATTATGGGCTTCCCCTAGTTTCTGTTTCGTCAGCCATGCCGGCTGCAAGCGCTGTTTCTACCAACTTTAGCTCTCCCTATAGTGTTGGACCAAGCGCTTCGTCGTATGCCGTAGCTGGCCCGTCGTCTCTCGGAGTACCTAGTTCTTCTCTGAGAACTAGACGAGGTTCCTCAACTCGTTCAACATTGGGAAAGCGGTCCGGCAGATCTGCTAGCTCCAACGATCGACGTGGAAAACGCGCCATGAAGTAAAGCTTGCCAGACAAGATTGACTCATGGTCGAAAGTGGAAGGTTAGAATTTATTGTTTGTTATTTTCTTATCTTCGTGTATATCATCTCATGGTCAGGTACCGTCAGATTCATGTTCTATTTGCAGAATTCTTTTACTGTATTTTTTTTGGGAATGTTGAAATATTGTTTCATACCAGATACCATTTGGCGTATAATGTTTAGAAAACATCCTTACTAGCCTAGAAGGGGATACTGTAGAGGTGCTGAGATGTGCTATCTATATTTTTCAGATTGTTTTAGTGCACTTCAAGATAGCGCTACAGAAATATTATTTATTACCCCCTCAAAGTCTCCAAATTCCTTAGGCATTGTATCAGACCCATTATCATATCTCTCTACGAGTACTCGGGGCGAAAGATGACAGCGAGGGAGGGATCTCTCAAACCCCTGCTCATATCATTTGCAGTCCCGATTTTTTCTCTCTTTCAATGGCCTCGTCATCCACTATGATGACAGGTTTTCCTTTCATTCTGCCTGAGTGAGCGAGCTCCACTGCCTTGGGAATCTCTCCCAAGCCTTTAAATGGGTTTGTTTGAATTTTAATGTTGTGTTTTGATACTAATTCTAGCATTTTTTGTGCTTCGCCTTGGGATCCTACACTCCTGGTCAGATAATGATTGTGGGGGCCAGGGACCACATCAACTTACCAACAAGACTCCCATGGATTCTGATATCCCGAAAAATCACATCTTCAAATGGGACGCTAATTTTCTCAGGCTGAGCAATCTGAATCATCGTTCCGTCTATTTTGGCGGACTTGGGGTCAGCAACCTTTTCCTTTAAATTGTTGGAGTAGAAAGAAGCTCATCCTCATCAACGTCATGATATTGTTAGGCATATTTTAGAGTGGAGAACGACTTACGCCTCTTTGTAACCGCGACCGCTGTTGCTGCAGCGCTTTCATGATCACTAACGTTGAGAGTCGAGTTTGCACGATGGCCGCCCGTGACCCTCTCGACATCTTCAATAACTTTGTTTTTATCTTGACGTGCATCTACCAGCACATCGGCGCCACAGTCTTTAGCAAGTTGTAATGCTTCGTCTCTAGCATCAATAGCAATGACCTTAAGACCTAGCGCTTTGGCAAACTGCACCCCCAAATGACCTAGACCTCCACCCGCTCCTACTATTGCTATCCATTCTCCCGATTTCAAGCCCGTTTTCGCGAGACCGCTCCCTGGTTTTGCACATGTTTTAGTATTGCATAATTTTGAATTCAGAAGTTGAAGTTCCAGGGTATCCAGTAGTATGGACTGCAGTCCAACAATATAAGATTATCAAATCCCTAAACCAATTGGAACATTCAAATCATGTAAGATATTTGAATTCGATTGGAACCATGAACCATTTTCGGGTTTTTAACTGCTTTGAAACATTCAAAACTTTACATTGTTGGACCGCAATCCGGACTATTGGATAGCCCGTGAATCATAACATGAGACGGGGACTTACAAATAGTGATTCCAGCACAAGCCAATGGAGCTGCCGATTCAAAACTCAAATTATCCGGTAACAAATTGCACTCCGTTCCATCTACAACCTCATACTCGGCAAATGAGCCATTTCTGAGAACGCCCAGATACCCTCCGCTATGAGCGCAATACTGCTGTTCATGCTCGGGCCCAGTGCAATCAGTACAGACGCCACAACGATGGTATGTCAAGCTACATAGGATGCGATCTCCTGGCTTGAAGCCTGACACGCTAGAGCCTATCGCGACAACGGTGCCGGCTCCTTCATGCGAGGCGGTACACGGAAGGGTCGTACCCAGTACGCCTTCTAATACCATGCCATCTGTGTGACAGAGGGATGCCGCAGCCACACGTACGAGGATATCGTGTTCGTGGAGGGGACCGCGGGGAGTAGGGATGGAGTGGATCTTGTAGGGTTGATTGAACTGAATGATGTGTTAACCTAACCTACTATCTCTTGTATCTAGACGAATACATCCTCGATTTTATCATCATCCGAATGATCTCTTTTTATAAGAGTATCACAGATCCACAGTGCATTTTTGAAAAAGAAATACTTACTTCCACGACTTGTGCTGCAAGCATCTTTTCCGGAACTCCTTCGAATGCCATTTTGATACGGGTGATTCAGTGTGTCAAAGCTAGGGAATATGTTTGATTTATTATGTGTTTGTAAATGATACACCGGGTGAGCAATTAAGTTCTAAGGTACTACCTTCCTGATGTACAAAAATTGTGGCAATTGACGGGTGGATGTGTCAAATTTGACTACTCGAATCCGCATTTACGTCATTATACAACTGGCTGGTGATACCTGACGAATTGTAAAGAAAATGCTTTTGTGATGAATAATGAGATATATAGGAAGGTAGCTGACTATCTGTAGGAGAGAAAGAGGCCAAAATTGATTGCTCTAATAAGTTCTATAATAAATCAATTGTGAATAACATTATAACAGTTAGGTAGTTAGCAAATTAAACATATCTTTGGATAGTCTTCAGGTATAAATAAGACTTTTCAAGCTTTGAATTCTGTGGATTGGAATAGAACAATGGGAATTCTGGTCTGATTTTTCTCCTACGAATAGGGTGACATTATGACTGCACAGTTAGAAATGGATTAAAATTATATAACTATACCTAGTATATACATTTGAATTCAAAGGCTCGTGTTAATAGAGTTGGAGAGAATGAGAGACTTTTGTTTATTTTGTTGTATGGCATCGTAACCTTATTTATGGGTAGATAAGATACCTACTAATACTACCTAATAAGTAGGTATTGTAGGGTCTCGAGATGGGATATACCTAGTAGGTACCTCTGTATCGATCGAGGGTTACCTGGTATATCTTATATCAATCTTTCAAATACCTAGGTAGGTTGTACGAGTAAATAGTCGTGATGCTTCATATGTACATGTAGGTAGCAGTGACTATCACAAATCATCTTATATCGTTGTCGTGGTCTTCCCAGCCACTATCATTTTATTAACAACATCACCGTGCATTTTCGTACATTTACCCCTTCCAATCCCATCCAACAACAATCCAAAAAAGTACAACGGTAACCTACAACGATACAACAGGAAGATATACTTTCCCCCCTCTTCACTAATGCACTAACATCCCCGTACCTGCTTCGATAACGCTTACTGATAAAGCACTCACAAGGTCAATATCACAATTGATGAACTAATAGGACTGCACAGCATCGCACGTGGTAGCTTTGATAGAAGCTATGCCGCGATATAAAGGGAGGGCAAGCTTCCCGAGCTCCAAGTATCTGGGAAGCTCGAAATCTCATCATACAGAGAGGTTTCGGAAGATTGCACTCTTTCTCGTCATTTGCGCTTTCTTATACGCGTCGTACATTATGCTCTTGGATCAAATCCTTTTATTGTCCCTCACCGGTGTGACGGCCTCAGCCTTGCTTCCTGAGAAACAACCATGTTCAAGTTCTACAAACGATGTTCCACAGTATTTTCAGACGACTCCAGAACTTTGGGCTGGACCAACAGCGACGGGTAGAGCTCCTTTTCTAGTAAGTAAAAGAAAAGGATCAACCCGCCTGGCTTTAGACTTCTGTGAAATCTCTATGAATTCAAAATTAATTTGCTGTTTGATTTAGGCCCAGACAGATCCAGTCTCGTTTGCACCAACTGTGACTTTCGTGCCAAACACTCCTCTCGAGACTGCCCAGCCGATTGTAGGCCAAGGTCGAAATGAAAGTATCTTCCAGCTTATGGGACAGCTCACCCCTTACTTGCCCAATCCATCTGGATTTGGCGTTGCAGAGTATCCATTGCCACCTGGAGCTAAGATTGCTCAACTTCAGGTAAGAATTTCAGATGTTTGAGGATTCACGTCGTTATCAATCTGATATCAAGTTTACTTGAGTGCAATGAGTTCCTTGTGGAATTATGTGTATAATAAATCTCAGTTGAGACATGTACACTCATCGTTCAGAGACTACAGGGAGGTTTTAACCATTATTCAAACTCTTTATGTACATTTAAAAGCTTCGGAACATTGAGAACCAACCATTGTTCAAGCTCTTTTATGTCCACCAAAAGCTTCGACAACATGTTTCTGAATCATACAGCAATATCATATATGCTGACAACTCCCAGATGCTTTCACGCCATGGAGCACGTTATCCCACTTCCGGAAGTAATGTTGCAACCTTTGGTGAAAAGGTCGCAAACTACACGGGGAAAATAGATGCCACTGGGGCTCTATCGTTTTTGAATGACTGGAAGTACGAATTAGGTTATGAGATTCTTGTCCCTCGTGGAAGACAAGAACTGTATGACAGTGGTATTTTGCACTATTATAAATATGCTCAATTATACAACCCTCACAGCAAAATTATCGCTCGAACTACCACTCAAGATCGAATGCTCAAGGTTGGTTGTCACTTCCGCAATTTCTAATATGTCACTAATGGATGGCAGAGCGCTGAATACTTCATGGCTGGATTCTTTGGTCTCGAATGGACAAATAACGTCACTATTGAAGTCATTATTGAATCGACTGGCTACAATAACAGCTTGGCAGGTTACGATAATTGCCCCAATGCAAACAATTATAGAAGTGCTGGAGGAAACAATGCTACAAACCAATGGGTAGCTACGTATCTACAGAATGCCACCGCTCGTTTCCAGTCCATGGTCTCACCAGAGTTCAACTGGACTGTCGTAGATACCTACGCAGCACAAACTATGTGCCCATATGAGACTGTGAGTATATGTTTCTATTTATATCTAATCCCAACGGTCTAACATGATATAGGTGGCATATGGCTACAGTGCCTTCTGCAATCTATTCACCTATGAAGAATGGGTCGGCTTCGAATACGCAATTGACCTTTACTTTGCGGGCGGAAGTTCCTTCGCTTCTCCTACTGGTCGCGCTGTTGGAATCGGCTACGTCCAAGAAGTAGTCGCCCGTCTTCAAAACCATACCCTTGGTTACTCCGGCTCCCAAATCAATACTACCTTGGACAATAACACCGCTACCTTTCCCCTGAACCAATCCATCTACTTTGATTTCTCCCACGACACAAACATAATGTCTATTCTCACTGCTTTCGGCTTCACACAATTCGCCGAAGCACTGCCAGCTACCCATCACCCTGGCCCGCACAATCTGACCGTTTCGCACATGGAACCCTTTGGCGCAAGATTAGATATAGAGATTATCAAGACACCAAAACCTTTAGCAGCAGATAGGACATACGTAGATGGCAAGGAAACTACGTATGTACATTTTATCCTCAATCAGAGAACGCTACCTTTGGGGCTCAGTTTCCCAGAGTGTGGAGCTGATAGATTGGATGGATGGTGCGAGTTGGATACGTTTTTGGACGTGCAGAGTAAATCGACAAAGGATGCTCAGTATGAGTATGCTTGCTTTGGTGATTATCCCGCAGAGCCATATGGGAGTGTTACGAATGGCGTGCCAAATTCTTAGAAGTGGAAGTAGTCTGAGTCTTTTAAACTCCGTTCTTTTGTATGGTACGGGGCATTGGCCACCGAACTGGATCTCTGTATAAATTATGGTATAGCTAAATAGGAAGAGAATGGGGGTATTCGTAGATGAACTAAATTCACATCAAGATTAAAATTCTGAATGTTCTGAATAGACTGAGTAATTGATTAATAGGCTTGTATATTATTAATACTAATGATTCTAACGATTCTAACATCAATGTTGGCTAGCACCCGTAACACACGTACCTACCGAAGGTAATATATGATTGATCAAAGTTGTCTTTTGGATGCAAAAGTCTTCGTTTCTTATTAAAATAGTATATGTACATTAAATCCCCGATAGCAATCTCTCGATACTCCGACCGTGAATACCATGAAGTCGGCTTGCACTACGCAAGATACTTATTAAACCACTCTATGCCCTGCTCCTCACTATCATCCATAGCCTTCTTATCCTTCTCCGAACCCCAATCACTCCTCAACGCAAACCCATGAATCTGGCCCTCGTAAATCCTCAACTCATGCGGCAACTCCGTCTTCTTCGCCATCAGATCCTGGATCTGCCCGACCGTCCCCCGATCCAACAAACTATCCTGATCCCCCACCGCCAAACTCAACGGTTTCGTCACGCTCTCGAAATCCGCCGGCACAGAAACTAGCGACGGGTGACACGCCACCGCCGCATCAACCTCTCCGTGCGCAGCCAATATCGCATAGCGTCCTCCCCAGCAAAATCCCAACGCGCCGACCTTTCCCGTACCGGGAATATTGCGAATATGTGCGATGAAGGAGGAAATGAGTGGTCTGGTGATTCCCTCGCGATGTCTGACGAGCCAGGGCGGCAGCGTGGTGGCCACCACGCCGGTGGCTTTGGTTTTCTCCAAAAGCGATTGCTGCTCCCGGACTTGGAGAGGCGGCTCGACGCTCTGGAGAAAGGAAAGCGGAATGCTGTTTCCTTGGTGGACATCGGGGATGTAGACGTAGAAACCGGCTTTGGCGTAGTTGTCTGCTAGGAGACGGACGTTTTTGAATTCGTAGCCGAAGACTGGTGGAGGGGTTAGTGGGGGTGGGGATAAAAAATGGGGTGTCTGTGGATGCACGTACTGTCGACGAGAAATATGATTGTCTTGGCTTTCGAGCCGTCTTGGGGCTCCGCAATATAGGTGGAGAGATCGTTGATTACTTCGACCCTTCCTGTGGGTGTACCTTCGTGCACTTTGCCCGACAGACAGCAGGAGGACATTCCGACATTTGTAGACATGGTTTTCAAATTGCTGATATATAGAAAGCGTGCGAAAAGGAAATTAAAAGATCAAGGTGGTAAGAGAAGACGTGAGCAAGGAAAATTCCTATATTGCGTGAAGGACTTCATCAAGCTATACATGTAGGCGCCTTCATCAAGGTTCCAAGTATGACGTCTGCCGCTAACTTGCTAGCTAGAATCTAGACAAGCCATTTTGTCCTCTCTGATACTAGTGCTCGGTATAATAGTGTATCCGGACCGCTAGTAGGCACACTAGATACTCGGCCGTGGAATAAAGATGCAGATCAGTGCAAAATGTCGTGGCGTTACTTTTGGTAAATTTCACGATTATTGTCTGCGAAGGCATGGCTTATATTGTTTTTCAAGCAAGCTGCATGGCTACATAGAAAACGGAATTGGGATTCACGATGACATTGCAATTCTTGAACATCTGCAAGTATCTAGTTTGTGTGTTATTCGGAAATAATAATTGCTTGTAGACTCCTATATGACAGTGTAATTTGTATATATGCTTCACCTAGGCACACAAGCGCGTGAAACTCCATGTAAATGCGTATAACTTCTCGGTCAGACCCAGAACGCCCCCCCCCCCCCCCTTTTTTCCGTTTCCGGCATCACTTAGATAGATCAAAGTGTCGCAATGCTCCCCAGATTCATTTATAACCCAAATATATGCTTGGTTCTATGCGTCAAACTAGTCTCAGGCACTGATGGCCATCTCTGGCTTGAGTTCAGTAAGGGGTGCATTTTCCGCTTCTCCCAAAGATGAAGGATCGGCTGGATCCTCAAGACCTCGACTCTTCTTTTGCTCTCCCCCATCATCCTCAGTATTCTTTCTCTTTTTCTTTGCTGCTTTTGCCTCCGCCTTTGCTTGCGCTTGCTTTAATTTATGCTCCTCGACCTGCTTATCAGAAATACCAATCTTCTCATCCACGTCGATTGCCTGCTCAAGCAAAGCTTGATGATTTAAATGCTCGCATAGTTGTTGGTAATTCTTAGACTGCTGAACAGCTCTATAGACTGGTTCCTTTCCAGGTATCAGGTGGTTCAAAAGATACTTCGTATTTCCGAATCTGTTCTCTGTATCCAGGCAAAATTTCATGTATTGGTGGACCACCTCCTCCCAGGGCGCTAGACCACCGTCGGCTTCACTTCTGAAACAACTTGAATTTGCTTCGGCAGCCACAGCGATCATCCCGCCATTTGTACCGTACTCTTCGGCCAATTTCAATGCTTGATCTCTATTTTCCACATCTCCATTCATCAAACAAGCGACGCCACTATCCCGACAGATATCTGCAATCATTTTAAGTTGCTCTCGAATCGCTCTTTCTCTTGGGCGCATTGGTGTAGTTCGGCAATGAATAGTGAGTCCTGTAATTCCTGTAGCGCAAAGCTTACGTACCAAAGCCTCAGTTTTTTCGGGGGTTTCCAGTAATCGGATTTTTACACTGATTCCAATTTCGAATTCCGGCACGATTTCCTTGACTAGAGCTTCGAGAATGGCGCATAATTTATCTGGGGTCTGCAAGAGAGCTGCCCCCATACCGCCGCTTGTACTGAAGGGTTTCGGACATCCTGCATTTACGTCGATGCCTGCCACGTCTGCGGCCACTATACGTGCACATTGTACTGCTCGTTCTGGGTCGGATGTGCCGATTTGAAATATGAGTTTTTTGCCTTCAAGTTCTGGATGTAGGCGAAAGATGAGACTCTCGTTTAGGTTTGCATTCTTCTCCTTATGGCCTTGGGATGGAATTCGAGTAAAATCGATTGTATTAAGACGGCTGTTAACTTTGCGTGTCGTCCCAATCATGGATCGATCGACCGTTTCAGGGCCTATAAGTTTGTCAGTTTATGTGGCCATCTAGCACGAGCGTAGAATCTCATACCCCAGACTAAATCTGCTCCATAGTGGAGAGCAAGTAACCGTGAAGGAAGTTCGCCGGACCTAACCATAGGAGCACTATTCGGTAGTGTTAATTTAATTCGTACCTAGCATTGCCACACATTTGACTCACAGTACAACCTTGCCTCTATAGTCTACTCCCTTCCTAGGAATAGGAACTTTCTTGGGAATTGATGTCATGACAAAAGATGCGAGACGTTGCATAACATTGTATTTCGGAATATATATTGCCTTGAACCAGATAATTGAAAAGAAAAGTAATGCCGTCACAAACTAGAAAATAATTTCACTATCTGCCGACACGTGACTTAGATAAGAAGATGGTGGATCAGGTAGAGATAGCCTCGAGATAGCATAGCGCTAGTATATGGGGCACCTCGAGGGCATTCTTTCTAACCCATATGAGCCACACATACTACGGAGCTGGAGGACTCTTCACTTCACTTCACTTCACTTCACTCGTTATACAAGTTGTCGGCTCCCTTATATTGAAGTGACGATATGATATTATTCGCTAAATGCTAGTCCTCATCCCATCATAAAAACTAATTGCCATATTGCAATCTTGAAACGGACTACTTGATTGTAGAAAATTCATGTGATATCCGAAATCCATTCGCTAGGTTAACGCCTTTCCGTCACATCGAGCTCAAAATTTGTCTCTCATTCCATCCCTGTGTCGTCTCCCAAAGAAATTCATGGTATCGTTTCTCGTTACTAATTGCAAGACGCGTTGTAAAGGTGCTTTGAACTGATATCCTGTTAGAATGTCTCTTCCTGATAATAGTGGAGATATAATAAAACTTACTGCTGTTCAACGAAAGCAGTTGAGTCCGCAAAGACGCATACGCCAGACAGGTTTTCTGACACCATGTCTATCTGCAGTAATGTTTGCACCGAATCTTCTGCCTCCAATTCCTTTAGACCAGAACAAAGGCATAGTTGCGAATAATGCGGTATGAGTATGTGACTTGGTTTGTTGTATGGGCAGTGGCTGATAAATAAGATGAAAATATTGCTTGTGTTTTAATTTGTGGAATGTTGTGGTTGAGATTTGATATCGGGGTATTGCTCATGATAAATATATCCAGATTGTTCACACGATGTGGCTGGCAGTAGATGATGCCGATGACCTCTTTGGTTCCTCAAAACCTGTTTGCTGGCTTGGCACAAGAGATGAATGGGGCTTTGCAATTCTCAGCCGCTTTGAACTCCAGAAAACAACAAACAAACTTTGGGCCATTGTTTCATTATCTTCATATCAAGTTATTTGACTGAGTAAACTATGATTTCCCTGTTTTTCATCCTGAGCTAAGATATGCAACAGACGGGAAGTTTTGACACTTGCTTGAAAGCAATTGAACCCTTTATGAATACGCTAGCTACTATTTTCCGAATGACTTAAGTCTACCTACCTACCAGACCAAGAAAAGTTAATGAAAATGAGCCTCAAATTCTCATTGTCACTAACTTGGACACTCGATAGCTTCATATCTTCGTTGTCAATCCTTAATGCCAATTTCTTGGTGAAATACTCTGCATTAAGTGACTCGAAAAGCATCATGGACATCTAAATATATCTTAAATATTGAAATAAGCGATGATATCAACTTCAGATATCAACTTCAAAGACCTAGGTAGGTAGGTGGCTGTTATGGAATGTTAAAAATAAGGTTTGCCATTAGGATACTTTATATTGAACAGCCGAAAACCCCCTTTTGATAGGTATTACATATATGGGCATTTGGAATCTTCACCTTATCGATGGAGTTTCCGATTCAATCATCTTCGGACATCGGTGTAGAGTATGACTGCATGGCGATCGCCCTTGGGCGTTATGTACCGCCGTCCGCGGGGCGCATAGCCAGCCCTACCAAAATAGGACCCCAACTTTTGACGGTCTAATAGTCGGCTCCCTTATTCGGGAAACGTGCTTGTTACTTTAACATTTTTTGATGTGGTTTTCATCAAAATAAGAATGTATTGTTACCAAATCCTTATTTGATGTATATAAGTATTGGTTTGGAAGCCAATATAACATACTTCATAGCTATTGTTGGACTCGAATCAAATGAGACAATTCAGGGATAGTGATGAGATAATTTTTGTAGTCCAAAGATTGATAGGAGACAAGTGCTTCCCCGAGACAAGTGCTTTCCCCAACTAGGAACTACTCGGCCGCTAAACAGAGTCGGCTAGAACTATCACAACTTAAAGCCGTGATGCTCGATCTTCAACGCATCTCACTCACTAAACCATCACGAGTTGTAGTACAATAGTTGATAGTGCTTGACAATATCTACTCGATGATTTCTTGACTTCTTCTTGCCAAATTTTATTAGTTTATCTTCTGTGTAACTCGAAATCAACTAAAAACAACAATACTCAAACGTCAAAATGGTATTTCTAGCTGAGAAGACGGTGGATATACCTACAAAAGATATCTTGTCATGGATATTTGATAATGTTCCCTATGATCAAGATGCTGTGGTAATATACCCTCCTGTAACTTGGTTGAGATTGTCATATACTGATATATCTGTAGATATATATCGATGCGGCAGATCCCTCTCGATCCATATCTGCAAGCCAAGCCCGAATCATCATCCTTCGATTAGTCGCGGGATTTCATGCTGCTGGCTTGAAAAGGGGTGACTGTGTGTGCTTACATTCGTTTAACGATGTAAGAAGTTTGAGTTCGTCTACTTTTGAAAGTCTCTAACCATACAAACGCAGATCTATTATTCCATGATCTTTCTAGGTAATCCAATCTTGTGTCAAGCCATCGCTTTTACTATTACTCACATCATATAAACGTAGGTATTATAGCAGCGGGTGGAGTATTCACGGGCACAAATCCGTCATATACTTCTCACGAATTAACTCATCATATCAAGACTTCGCGAGCAAAGTTTCTTATCGCAGAGCCTGAGATTCTTACGAATGTTCTAACCGCTGCCAAAGAATGTAATATTCAGTCTTCAAATATTTGGATCTTTGATGTCCTTGGACAGACGGTTCCCGATTCTTTCAAATCTTTTAAAGATTTGATGAAGCATGGCGAGGAAGACTGGGTAAGATTTGACAATGAAGAGACAAGTAGGATGACAACTGCTGCTAGGTTATTTAGTAGTGGAACTACAGGGCCACCGAAAGCAGCGGCGTTGTCCCATTTCAATTTAGTTGCGCAGCAGTACGTAAACGGTTCACAAAGTTGCCGTGTTTGTCACCTACTTCTGTCCCCATATTATAAGCCCCAGTCATGAAATTCGTTGTTTCTATCTCCTGATGTAACCTTTGTTGCTCACCTTCATCCAAAACCTACCGTTGATAGGCAATACTAATTTAGTGGTCTTTAACAGTGTTCTTGCTTATGAACAAGCACCGAGGTCGTATGTTGTATGCGCTCTTAGCTCCATTCATCACAAGTTTTAGAAACTAACAAAGTCATTTCAGATTCGTCGAATAATAGCACTACCGATGTTTCATGTAGCCTGTGTCCCAGGTTTGTAGCCATTGTTGAATTCTTAATAGAGAGTCACTAAAGCAGGAAACAGTTGCTCATACAACCGCCCTGAAAGGTGGACATGTTTCTGTCGTAATGCGTCGCTTCGAGCTTATCCCCTATCTCAATATTGCAGAGAAATACCAGATAAATGAAATAATGGTAGTCCCACCCATTGCAATTGCAATCATCATGTCCGGTGTCGCGGGAGATAAATTGAGGTCCATTAAACACGCGGGGGTCGGAGCAGCACCCATGGGGAAAGAGTCCCAAGAGAAATTGAAACAGTTATGTGCTCCGGGAGCAACACTTACTCAGGCTTTTGGAATGACAGAGACAACTTGTATCTGTGCGCAGTTCTGGTTCTGGGAGGACGACACAACGGGTAGTGTTGGGAGAATGCTACCAAATATTGATGCGAAGTATGCTTTTCTGCCACTTTCCTACTTCAATATCAAATGCTGATATAGAATCATCAACTAGAATTATCGACGATGATGGCAATGACATAACAGCTTATGACGTCCGCGGTGAGCTTTGTGTACGTGGTCCGACTATCATCGCTGGTTACTGTAAGTCTCCGTTTTCCTTGTCAGAATGTAGGGCTTATTATTGTTCTTGATAAGATTGATCTTCCAAGCAATATCAATACATCCCCTTTTTATTACTAAACTGGCATTCGGGCTATTGGAGGCTTTCACGACTAAATGGATGTGTAAAAATTAATCGTTTTGCAGTTGAAAATGAAACTGCGAACCGTTTGTCGTTCGACTCCGATAACTTCTTCAAGACCGGCGACATAGTATACTGCGATTCAAAGACCAAAACATGGTACATAGTAGACCGCAAAAAGGAGCTAATAAAAGTAAGAGGCTTCCAAGTTGCACCGCCAGAGATCGAGTCTGTGCTTCTCTCGCACCCATTGATAGTAGACGCAGCTGTTATTGGCGTCAAGGGATCGGATGCAGATGGAGAAATGCCCAGAGCTTATGTGGTAAAGAGACCTGGCGAGGAAAGTAAGGGTTTAGAGGAGAAAGACGTGAAAGAATGGTGTGGAGAGAGATTGGCGAGATATAAGGAATTGACCGGGGGCGTCAAATTTGTAGAGGCTATTCCGAAGAATGCGAGTGGGAAAATCTTGAAGAGGATGTTGAGGGAGCAAGCAGATAAAGAGGGTAAGACGGCTAGACTTTAATGCTAGATTGTTATAAAGTGATGAGTTGTGCAATGGCAGGACAATAAGGGATTTAATGGCAGTTTTCACGAGGGAAAAACGGATATGCAATGAAATTTCAATATGTGAAACAATATAGATTCTCCATTTGTTGACTTTGTCCAAAGAAATTCCACATATACGCCAACTTTTCGTGTGCTTACAAGACTAGAAGTTCGAAATACTATCTTCATAGTGTCAAAAGCATTATGCCATCACCCAGTGTTTTGTTTTCTGTAAATAGCTTCGTTTCCTCATTAGAGCTATATATGATTCATGAAGGCATCCTCAGATACCCTTCACCTACTCCTCTCCCATCAAAGCGTCATCCCAATCAGCTTGATTTTCCGAAGCTCTTCCCCCGATGCGTCTTTCTTTAATGTGATTTTGGAATTCGGTTCGTCTGCTATGCCCAAGCGTAGAATTCTTTCCAAACCCGGCCTCCTTGCTTGAATTTTCACTGTGAGTCTTATCAATGAAGTCCTCGATATCTCGATCATTATCCCTGACGGAAGAGGATGATCCATCCTGTTGAAATTCAGTTTGCAATTTGACCCCATCGAGCCCCTCGTTCTCAGCAAGTTTGCGATATGTTGAGTCCATATCCATGTTGCGCTTTCCGTCACACAGCCCTCTTCTATTTATACATGTCTGTCTATGCGAGCCATCGACCGCCTCCTTATACACGTCTCCATCGTCGCTCTCACCACCAGTACCATGAATCAGCCTCAGCATTTCTTGAGTCATTTTGCGTAGTTTCTCCTCATCAGTTCGCGGATAGCGGTCAGAGAATGATGGTTTTCCGCTCCAGTCGAGTTCCGTGTAGGTGTCTTCTGAAATTGTGTATGTGCATTTCTGCGATGCCAGTGCTGATCTTTCTATCAGCGTAGCTTCTGCTTGTGATGGCACATGCTCGTTCACCAGAACTTCGTCAGTATCTAAGTATGTTAGTATGTAAACATAGTAATAATGGAGATGCATACATGGATCGTCAGTGACACTTTCACCGCATGACCACATCCCCCCATCGCGATCGATCTCCGGTGTAGCAGGTAGAATGTCGATCAATTTTTGCATTAAATGTGTCAATTTTGATTTGAAATCTCTGGACTGCTGTTGGGCTTCGGGAAGTTCGAGAAGTTCTAAGATTTTCTTTGCCAGCTTCCATTCCTCTGCAGGGTGTTCTATGGCGTTTGGGTCTTCTGGTGGATTGCGTCCAAGATATCCGTCAATCGTCTCGATCATCGCAGCCGATTCATTCTGTATTCTCTTTCTGCAAGACTTGATGCCCTTCGCTGGTAAATTTCCTATCCTGATTGCCTCCGTTTCTCTTGTGGTGGATTGTATAACGTTTAACAGTGTCTCCTTCTCTTCCTCAAACATCCCCTCATAGGCTTGTACAGTTCTTTCCATATTGTATTGGGAACGCGTCTCTAATATTAACTTGAGGATTTCGAGAAGGGTGGTAAAGTAAAAGAAACAAGTCGAAGAGAAACTGTAAATGTGGTCTAGCTGGAGCCAACTGTCACAAAGTGAATCTTGTGATATGGAGTTTTTTCAAATGAATATGTTCTCACTTTCAAAGGTGAAATCATCTTCTTAAGTTTCACTACGGGGTAAAGATGGGAAGTTTCCCTCAATGATAATTCAATGTTTGAAATCCCAAACCTATCAAACACCCATTTCTTTTGTTAAGCACGACACTGCAACAACGCCGCGATCTAATTCTTATCAAACAATCTACCATGGCATCTTCTTCAGCGGCAGGAGCGCCGAATGTAAGCAACTTCCAGCAATTAAAAGAATACGCTATCACTCTCTCTGGATACGGGCTGAAGCACGGGCTTGAGAAAAGAAAGGAATACCAGTACATCCAGACGCATCCTGTCTCATCAATTGCAGTCGAGAAAGTACAGAAAAGATTGAATGGTTCCGAAACTGGATTGAAATCGAGCCCCTCGATTCCGTCCATATTATCGAACCGGAGAGAAAAAGAGCTTCCGTCAGATAATAGGACAATCTGCGCCTTGGTCGTAGGCTTGTATCTTTCAAAAACAGGCGCATTTGACATCACCAAGGCCCCGATAATCGAGGCCGACAAAGGAACTAATAAAGGGATGCCAGTAGGCAAAGAGATACCAATCAGTCTAGAGGAATTCGATCATAGTCCTGTATTCAGAGTTGTTGTGAAGGTTGTCGAGGAGATGCCAGAGGAAGGTGCAAAGCTTTATGTCTTGCTAGAAGAGAAAGATGGACTGCCCATGCCATACAGGGTAGCACAGAGCAAGGTCTTCTTCTTTGATGAATTCCGAGACGATAGTCCTTCTCAAGCCAGGAGGGAAGTCAGCTGGATGGCAAACGTCAAAAAACACTCAGTTATGGAAGAAAAAGCAAGGGATACCAGCAAGTTGGCATGCGGACCAAAGGAGGGTTTGAGAAACAGCCTTGCAGAGCACTTAGTCTTGCTTGGGGCGTTAGAGGGACCACCACCGGAAGATATCTTGAGATTGATTTCTAACACGTTACGCTCATCATATACGGACATGTATCAGAGAGACATGCCATCGAGTGAAACAATAGATGCCTTTGTAGACAGGGGTTCGACTTGGGATCAGACCTGCACCTCGAACTTCATATCTGCCATCAAACGAGTGTGGCCTTACATACAACTGACCGAAGAGATTGTCCATGCTTTGCGAGCAGGACTGCGAGAAGCCGAACTGTCGGTTGACTACCGTGACTTGAAGGGGTTCCTAATCGAAGGGAGTTTCATCATTGAGAATGAGATTCAAGCACCGGGCGTTGCGCGAACAATGACGAATGAAGAGGTGGCGATCGCCGCATTGCTTGTAGCCCAGCGTCACAAGCAAGTAGACACTACACCAAGACCCTCGATCCAAACGGTCCAGGACAAGGAAGCTTGGGTGCGGATGTTGAAAGAGGGACTTAAAAACCTTGTGCAAGGCACAGCTGATTGGAACAAGACAGCAATTGACAATCTTGGTGACATTGTCATGAAGGTGGATTCTTGGACGGCTGTTTTCAAAGGTCACAGTAGTGCTAGGGATGGAGACGCACAGAAGATGTTAAGTGCATCTCTGGCCCGGTCTATGTTTTCACAGATCACTATCAAGCATGATGGCACAATCAAGGTATTGGAGGAAATGATACGGCTGACGGAAATGTGGTTGAATCGCGCATCTCAGTAGGCCGTGCGATAGTAGGACAATCCGGGACTGACTTGCTGCTTGTACCTTAGGCATTAGTCTAGGCAATGAATGTTCGACATTTGATGCAATAATGATTATTAGAGTAATCTAAATGGCAATGCAAGATCGCATATTTCGCTATTTGAACGTAATTCGTAAAGTTCAAGACGTATGGACAAAATGTGATCGTCAAATAGTTTGGCTAAACGCTTGTTTGGGGTAGTTTTTTCAAAAAAGAAAAAAGGCGATGATTAATACACTAGAGACGCGCAAATCGATCATAGGTTTCCCCCATTCCCTTGTTCCATCCCTTCGTACCAACAGCAGCATTGCATCAGAATTACTTGGAAAAGAGCAAGTGTTACTTTTGATGGAATTTCATTTGGTACGAGAATTTGCTAGTGATAATTTAGCTCTTGTTCACCTTGAACAAGAAAGCCCTTTAGATACTAACGCCTCTATGTTTGAACGCCGCCCTTGCAACATTCGCACCTAACAACACTTGTATAACAATATTGACTGCAGGCACCGCGTGGCAAATCCCGTTGTGTCAAAAGAACGGAGCAAAATTCTCGGGCTTCATTCACTTTGGTATCATAACCCCTGAGTTCTCATATATCTTGCCACAACTCCTCTCGGGGATCTTCGTGCTCCCCTTAGCTTATCTCGAATATTTATCTCGAGAAGAATCTTCCAATAGTAGCGCTTGCGATATTTCCCGCAATTCCTGAGGAATACATAGCACTGCCCGCCAAATTCGATGCTTGTCCAAACTTATCACATCTCGAGAACGCCAAAGTATTCGTAACTGTCAAACTCAATGCAATCACTACACAACCATACTCATTAGCAATTCCCTCGGTGTAGCATCTTGTTTTCACCCTTATTCCGTACTCATGGCCGCCTGGAATCCGCAACAGAAGGCAAAACTTACCGATTAAGGTCAACCAAATAAATTCAAACCTAAAAATAGCCACAAAGGCTAATCCGACCCATAACAATGGCTGCGAATAAAGTGCAAGCCAGAAGAATCTGCTATCCGTAGGGTTTATGATTTTCGTATTTGGATCCGAAGATTCAAAGACCCAATGCGAATCACCAGTTGCAGGGTCTACTTCATTCCACCAACGCAATCCAACGAGGCGACGACCAGCGATATTCTTTAGGTAGTAAAAATCGGCAGCGAGGAGCAGGATGGTTATTATGAAGATCATGACACTATTTGAATTAGAGGGTCAATTGACGAATCTAGGGACGGAAAACATACAAGTTTTTAATGAAGAGCATTCCGAATAGGTATACTAGAAGACTTGCTATTTGAGGAGTTAGTAATGTATTCAAAATGGCAGATCCAACAATCCATCCAGTATGACTACGACTCTCGAAGCTCAAATCAAGCAATGCGCAAACCTACAAATGCGAAATCCTAGGAAACACAACAAAGTAATAGGATGTGAGCTGAGACGCCAACTCAACGACCCAGCAGATTCATTCTGTTCCATGATGAAAGAGGTATGTTTTGTCAAAAGAGCGTAGAAGTTGAATTTGTTGAAGTGTTGATCATGAACACCTGCATCTGCATGCTCAGATAGATACTCGTAATCGTCGTAAGGCCAGAGTAGCTAGGAGCTTAAGGTTTGACCCCAGTTATGGCGCTAGTTAAACGGTGAACAATGGCAGTATATTTCTGGTTAACCTCATCTCTCTTCAATCACAAACAACACCTGCAATTGATGTTCAGTCGAAGACACTACACTTACATTCACTTTACATAACAATATATCCCAATGCTGTCATGAACACATATGGAATGGCTACAGCATCTCATGAGTTCAAGTAAGATCACATGTCAACCTTATTACATACGGCGATTCTCTTCGTCAGATGCGTCTCAACCTGGGTGTCAAGAGGTTCTATAAATAAGAGAACATTCTTCCAATAACATTGATCGCGTTCCAGTCCTGCGCATAAACACTGGCAAATCTTCATCATTCACTTGCTATACTCTTTATTGGTTACTTTACTAATATCACAGTATATTCATATCACATTGGTTCATTCTTATATATGGTTCAAAAAAATCTCGATTTAAAATGACAAACTTGAAGTAAAGTACTAACTAATCGTACAACAAGACGCGGTCTTTAGATTCTATTCTAACTTGACCCCCTCCCCCTAAATCACTCCACTCTCCTCTCAAAGTCTCCAACTTCTTCCTCTGATCTTTCTGATGGGATTGGCAGTAGAAGTGGAGTTGAGAGTAGTTCCACAAGATCCGAAGCCGGGTTGACAACCGGTGCCACACCAAGCATCACCAATTCCACAGAATCCGTCCTTGGAGCAACATGGACCAAAGCCGGAGCCGGTGCATGTTTTTCCTGCAGAGCAGAGACCGTCGACCGAGGCCTGAAGGGCTCCGGAGCTTGTTCCTGAGGATGAGGGGGAGGTGGTGCCTGATGTTGGTGAAGCTGGTACGGATGTTGCGATGATGGTGGCCGAGCTGAGCGTAGATGAGGCTGCAATGGTTGGAAGGATTACGATGGAAACTGGAGTTGTGCTTGAGGAAGCAACGGGTACTGGAGCATATGGCGCACCAACTGCTGGGGCAGATGATACGGGAGCTGCTGGAGCACTGGAGCTTTGACCACCGGTGCTTCCTGAAGTAGAGCCCGATGCATCGGAACCAGATGAGGCAACACCATTGACAGGACCACAAGTTCCGGTGAAGGTACCCGAGTCTGAAGTCTTGCGCGTAACATCTGCATCTGGGCCTGGATTTGGGTAGTTGACGGCCTTACCTTCGACAGACGTGCATCCATTGCCAAGGTTGACGAGGAAGAGATCGGGACGGGCAGAAAAGGCGACAGCCGGAGCAGCACGAGCCTTTGTTCCTTCGATGGTGACGGCAGCGCAGGACATGTAGAACTCGCGGTTACCGATCTGGTTTTGCCAAGTCCAAGCGAACATTGCTTCTCCAGCTGGGGCGTCGGCAGGAACAGTGAAGTCGGCGCTTGAGCTTACTGCGGTAGGACAGCTTCCGATGTAAGAATGGATGACCTTGAATGTCTTTCCGGAATCGTAAGAGAGTGCGACTTGACAAGATCCTCCACCGTGAATAGCACCGGTTCCGACGGTCCAGTTTGCGGTTTGACCTGCGGACCAAGTGACGACAGATTTTCCTCCAGCTGTGCCCATGTCGTTGTACTTGCAAGGGAAGTTTGCACCGGAGGCTGCGAGTGGAGCTGTGATGCTGTAGTCGATCTGAGATTGGACGGCGTTGGGGTTGAGTGCAGAACGGAAGGGAAGTGGCCATGTCATTGACATGTGTGCGTTAATGACGGAAGCGCATAGGACCGCTCCGAGAGCGAGGCTGTTGCTGAACTGCATCTTGATAGTGATGAAATTAAGTTCTGGTTTTTTGTTTGTGTAGTGTGGCTTGTTTGCGACGTTGATGATCAGACCTGCTGAATTTTTGTATTATTGTGTATAGAATAGGTATGTGTGGCAGAGAATGTGATGATCGAGCTGTTTATGGAGGACTTGAATTCGAGGGAATCTCGAGTCAATAAATACTGCAGAAAAATGACTGTACGAAAATAGAAGAAACAATGTGATTCGAGGCTCGCTTTGTTAACAATAAAGGAATGATTCGGCGAGTGTTCCAGCACAATGAGTTGATAGCTTGAAGAAACTTAAGGAAAGTATATTGTTCTTTATCTGAATGGAAAGACCTTTATTCACTTTTACGAAAAGCCAGAGTCCCAAGTATTTAAATAGACGAATCTTTGTCCGTCCACACAAAAAAACCATAGAACAATCCAGATGATCAAAGACATCCTATGAATAACCCATTCATCTCCGAAGGTAAAATTAAGAACGACAGGAGAGTTTCAAAGACTCCTTCTCTACCACAACCGATAGAGAAGACCAGCTCACTTCTCCCCTGTTGAAGAAAGCTTCTGGTGAGACTTTCGAGCAGAAACCAAATAATCCGATCCAATAACACGATCCTTCCACACCCTTGTGAACGAGAATGCACTCACTCTACAAACTTACACACGCGAAAAATGACACTAGAAGAACCCTTCCCCTTTCTCGGCAAAAACTGCAGAAAATTCCCATGTACCCCAACTCCTCCCGTGTGCCGTCCTGACCTGTCCATCTCGCACCCGTCGAACAAAATAAGCCAGCAGCTAACCTACGCCCCGAAAATCCAAAAAAGGCTACCTAACCATAGAACTCCTAGATCGCTCCCCCGCTCCGAAACAAAGCAATTCTCGCACCTGTTCATTTCCACCTTGTGGTGAGGAAATATTCAGGAGAAGTATCAACACAGGATGTGAGTGGTTGTTGAAGAATCACAAGGCGACATTCCCCAACCAATCAACGTACTTGAAACACAAATTTTTGAAACCTCCGAATTCGAAACTTGGTGATTGTATCCACCAACTGCCAAAAGTAATGTTATGTCCGTTAGGTTTCTTGACTCATTTTCACCGGCGTATTCCTTAGCCTATTAGTTGACATCAGGTTGTTTTCTATGAAAGATGGGAGTTTTGGTGGTATCGGAATTATTTGAAATATTTTTATGTCACTGTGCAGTATGTCAGGAGAGTTTTTAAAACTTTGGATTGTAGTTTAATAATAGGGTATCGCTAATTCGTGAAGATATTTATGTATTGATTCGATTTGAGATACCAAAATCATTTGGAATAATGTTCGCTAAGTCATTGAATGAACATCAAAATGTCGAAGTCTCAGATCCGGCTCAGTCTCGACTCCTGAACGCCATCATGCTCAGCTATCTCGGTTATTATGGAATTATATCGAAGACTGACTCATTCAGGTCGTTCGGCAATCTATAGTTCGTCCTTCCTCCGCTGTGCTTCCTTCGCAGCCTCTTCTGGCTCTTCCCACATCCTCTTCTTTGGGTTTCCTGAATTTGATTCCCCAGTTCGCACTGTGTTCTCTTCCAGCGCGACTTCTGTATCATGAAGGGATTCGTGTTCAACCGAGTCTCCAATAATCTCTTCCTTGATAGGCGCCTGATAACGCTGGCTTTCATCAATAATATGTTCGACCTCCTCGACCATCGTTGATGCCGCTCTTGCTACCGGTCGTTGATCGCCGTTCTCAACACTGATTGCTGGAGTGTTCTTGCTATTGATAACAGCGCTCTCACTTTTGGTTGGGATGACTGAATAAGTTGCCGGCTCACTGGATATGGACATACTGCTTTCAACAGCCGAGCCACCCTTGGAGCCCATTATTCCAAATATGCTAAATAGAGAGTAGAAGATTAACTTCAGTGGCGCGTAAACCAGCCACCAAAGTGGTCCGTAGAATAACCTTCTAAAAACAAGCCATGCAATCGTACATGCGAGTACATAGAATGCTGTTTCAAGATACCACGTATCACTCTTTTGACTCCTCAGCAAAGTCCCAAGCAAATTCCGCGAACTCGATAGTAGAGAATCTAATGTAGAATATGTTTCATTCAGCTGGGCTAACGCTTCCGTTGACTGTTTTAATGTATCGTTTGCGAACTGTGATTTTTCTAACTCGCCCGCCATCATTTCGTGAGTTCGTCGAAGCGCCAGAGTAACGTCGCTGGCAGCATTCACTGTCTTATCTTCCTTTGAGAGTTCCGACTTTGGTCGAGCGATAGGCCGTTCCATCGAATTAGGAGTTGACCTACCGGAAGAAAGATTTAAACTTGGCTGAAAGAGATGTTGTCGCTCCCAGACTTGCGCAGCCTTGAGCGTCTTTCTCGCCGTCACCTCGGCCTTGCGAAATGCTGAATAGCATCTGTAGAGTTCATCAATCAGCCTGGAGCATGGCATATATAAAGGTAAACAAAATATTTGTCTTACAATTCGACTTCTTTGATGTTCTTCTCCACTGCTTCATCAAGCATCTTTCTCTGTCTTCCCAACTCACTGTTCGGCCCTCCTGTAGGCATTGATAGAACATCTTCTTGCAATCGCTCAAAATCCTCATCTTGTTCTTTTAACACTTGTGCAATTTCCGCAGAAAGCTCCAGCAATACATTATCGTCATCACTGTCCAGTGCTATAGAGCCAGGTTCGAACATAATGGTTGCTAGCCGTTCAATCAATTCTCTGGCTTGCCTATTTGATTCCTGTAGGGCTGCAAGGCGTTCAGAAAGCGTCTCGAAAGACATATCGATTTGTTTGAACTTGGCAGATGTTTTGGCTTGTAAATTCTGCATCGTCATGTCATGAGAGCTGGGTGCTTGTGAGGCTCGGAATTTACCGAGAATTTTATTTTGCGCCTAGCATATTGAGCATCCAGACCACAACTGCACCCCCAGAAACTTCATAGAACATTGAAAGTCTCATGTAAGTTCACATTGATACGTTTGGTCGTGAAGTACTAATTACATACTCTAGGCTTCGGTAGCAAACATGATCACAAGATTCATCACCGAAGTCTCAACAGTCTTCAATCCCTTCTCTCCCAAAGCCAAAACCGCACGGTTATTTCTCTCAGTTCTTCCACCAAATGCACGACAGACCATGAAGATCGATACAAAGATACTACCCAGAGCATCTAAAGAGCGGAGTCTTGTGCGCCTTAAGTTTAGTATGTTTTGTCGGATTCAAATTTTGTTCGCATTCGCAGATTCTAACCCTGATTTACAGAGGATGGAAAAGAGATGAAGTTGGACGCAGAGAAGCTCGGTATTAGAGGTGTATCTGATGAAGTGGACAGGCATTCACGAATTTTGGCAAGGCAGGAGGAATTGACCGGAAACTGATGATATAATGCTAGAATGTATATTTATTGCATGTGGAAGGCGTTTTCAAGGTCGTATGATCAACAATATCATACTTTCAACAAGCACAGAGTGCCTATATGTGAACATAATATATGTGTTCTAGGACTTTATACGTCTCCCAATCCATGTCGATATATCATGAGTTGAATGGCTAAGGCCTACCCAACGATTGGATAGAAGGAACAATCTACAAGTCAGAAAGGTTGAAGATATTGCGGCTTAGCAGAGAGCGATACTGGGCGGGCGACTGTAAACGCTCAGCGGTCCTACGGGTCTCCAGTTTTGGGTATCAAGATTACATCAAAATTCAATGCGAAGACAAACAATGTTCATTTATCAACGCAATGATACGTTCTCCAGCTGCGTTAGCTCGTGTGCGGGTCTAAAAGTCCCAGTGCATTTTCGGGGAAACCCAGCAAAATCTTTTGGCGAACAAGGTATATGAGGAACCCGAGGTTTGATATTATTTCACAATTGCATGTATTGAACGGCAGAAGTAGTATGGATGTGCAAGAAATGCGCTTGGTAACCTTCGTATTGTATCTACAGCCAATAGTGATGGCATATGTGTAGGGTCGTTTAACTTTTATGGTATTCTGGCGATAACGCCTGCAAATGTATAGCCGTGATTCAAGACATCTGAATTTAAGCGGCAGCACCAGAGATGAAGAACCACTTGTCAATGCTTGGGTCGATAGGAGCTGGGGCAAGGTTCTCGTTAGATGGGATAGGAGGAAGTTGGCTTGCTTCAACACGGCTGGTTGAGTGCTTGACAGTGACGTTGGTGCTATAAGTTTGTTAGTTGACAGTTGACACAACGAAATGACAAAAAACTTACGTTGAAACATCACCTGGGGTGGTCTTGCCAGTGATGAGCTTCTCCCAAGCCTCAGCACACTCACGGACGATATCGGTGGCGTACCTTAAATACAGTTAGCTTGCATGTCAAATTTAGTCGTGTGATAATCCTTACTTCTTGTTCTTGCACTCTCCAGTGAAAGCGAATTGGTTCTCTGGCTTTCCATCGGGGATTTTGTAGATTCTGAACCATTCATTTGTAGCCCTCAAGAGACCTGGAAGGTGTCTCTCAACATCCTCAACGTCATTGAGCTTAGGAGCCAATGGGTCGTTGACATCGATGACAATGACCTTCCAGTCGGTCTCCTCCTCATCAAGCAAGGCCATAACACCGAGAACCTTGACTTGCTTAACTTGACCAGGGTATCCGACCAATTCACCGATCTCGCAAACGTCCAATGGATCGTTGTCACCCTTGGCCTTGGTCTCTGGGTGGACAACGTTAGGGTCCTCCCAAGTCTAATATCCAATCAGCTCGTGTCGCAGGTAATACGTATACATTCGAAGTCTTACTTGAGGGAAGGCACCGTAGTTCCAGAGATAACCCTTGTGTGGGAAGCAGTTGCGGACGAAACGAAGCTTGCCCTTCTTCACATCTTGCTTCTGTGGAAACTATTAGCATAAGAATTGAGTTTGATGGTAGGAGGGACATTCGATTGGGTTAAGCATCTAGTGAATGGCATGTTAGCTGACAGTGTACAAAATGCCGTGATAAGTGAGAAAAACCTCTTCTTTGCTGATCTCCATCTTGCCGTTTGTCCATCTTGGGATCTCAACAACCATGTTCAAGATGGTTTGTTGCTCATTGGCATAAAGGGGGATATCGTGGAAAGGAGAAACTGGAACGCCATCCTTTTCGATATAGATACGGTGCTCCAAAGTGTTTGGAGCTCCGATCTTTCTGACAGTGTACTTGGAAGCCATTGTTGTATTTAATGGTGTTGTGTTGTCGGAGGATGAATTCGTTGAGAGGTGACGAGATATTTGCACCACTCTTAGCGGTATGGTGGGGTTGTTTTTGTTCGCCAGTTTGGCGTGCGCGGCGGTCACGCCTTTATAGCCAGGAAAGCGCAGGGGCAAATGTTGCTTTAATTGGTGAGAAGGAGCACGGCAGGTATGCGATAGATGTGTGAATGATCTGATTTGTTCTGCTCGAGCCTGAATGGGAATTTCTATATTGGGGTGGAATTTCCAAAATGAATTTGGAATGCCACTAGACTTTAACTTCAACATTCAGATCAAATCTCTTGTGAATGTTCAATGTTCCAAAGAGTATAATAAGTAGGTTTTTGGCACTATGAATTTACAATCTGCAATCTACAATTAACTTCCGTACTACCTAGGTAATAAATTGCGCTATTCAGCAAATATTTTCCGTCGACCGCGGCTTTTATGATTAACCGCTACCAATCGAACGTGCCTTGCCATATTTTCCGAACTTCGGACCCTGCCGTTTCCATATATGGGACTTGGTCTCATCTCTAAAGCAGCAGCAGCGAGATGTGTTGTCCCAATGTCCCAATGTTCCAATGCTTCTTCCAATGCTTCTTCAATCCAAACTTCAACTGCGTACAACAGCTACCTACATTACATTATATTGGTCCACGCCTCAGGGGGAAAGTACCGGCCCAGTCTTTGTACACTTCTCATATCAGATCCCCTTTTTCCTTTCTTCTGTTAATGATTTCGAACAATCAACTGAAGTCACGTCACAGCTTCTATCTATTCGACACTTTTACCTTTGGACCCGAAGCATACTGACCCGGGTATCAGTAGGTAGTCCAAAGAAGACCCATCAAATACATGATATGGATGTTATGTTATGCATTGGCACTATGTCATTATTAGACGATAATGCCGCAAGGTCTGGAATTTCTCAAAGGTAGCATTTATGCAGCGTTCATTTCGCGTTCAAGAAGTAAGGGTTATGAACAATATGATTTCGCAACTGGTTAGAAAAACAACAACAATCTCTCCTCATCACAAAGTCAAACCTTCCAGAGCAATTTTTGCTACCAAATCTCTCAAGATACAGTGCAAAATGAATGTCCCTGAAAGATGACAGTCCACAAAGTCCCTTGTTCACTGAGGTTCAAATATTTTCGCTTACCCGGTCTACACATAAAAGATGAAAAGAGGCCAAAATTCAACATCCCCTTCATATCTATCCATAATAAATCAACCACAGATAAATTTATAAAGATTAGTAGTACTAGATAAATTCTTGGGGGAGCCTTCAATTGTATTATTCCTACCTTCAATTCTTTGAGTTGTCCGGTTCAAGATGATTTGAACATCCTAAAAGATCGCAATATATGACAACGATTCAAGACTTTGCACCAAGGCAAAACGTCTAGAGACTACATAGTAGAACCTTGGAAGTAACGAAAACATTGAACTGACATCCCATTTAACAAGTTGCGAATAGCGAGACGCCGAGAGATCGAGAAAGCTTGGGAAAGTAACCTATAAACCCTTAACAACGCCGTAATAAAGTATATACAATCATCATCTGCTTCACAACTCTATCTACTTATACCCATCGTAATAGATATTTCAAACTCTCTCCTCTACCAACCCTCCACAATCTTAATCTTAACATACAACCCTTTCGACGGCTTTGCAGTCACTCCTCCTTTAATATCTAGATTCTTCTCATCCATCATCTTCTTATCTTTCAACTCAAATTCAAACCTTCCAATCCACGTCGCCAACAAAATTGCGAATTCCGCCTTTGCAAACTGTTGACCAATACAACTTCTTGGTCCATGCAAGAAAGTCAGGAACGCATAATTACTTGAGCTCCCTCCACCCGTATTATGCGATTCGCCATTCTCAGTCATCCATCGATCAGGATCGAACTTTCGAGCAGAGGATCCCCACATTTTTTCGTCCTTGTTAATGGCCCATGGAATCAACATCACACGTGTCCCCTTCGGTATGCGCTGACCAGAGATAGTCGTATCAACGGCGGCTTCACGAAGGGTTAGAGGAACAGGTGGAAAGTAGCGGAGAATTTCGTTACAGACAGCGTTTAGATATGGCATGTAATCGATATCTTGACTTGTGACACTGGCGTCTGAGTCTGGACTGGGAAGTTTTGCACGGACTTCCTCTCGGAGACGAGATTGAACTTCTGGGTAGGCGCAGAGTAGATAGATGGCCCAAGCCATTGAACTTGCAGTCGTCTCGTGGCCAGCGGCTAGGAAAGTCATGAGTTGATCGATGAGATTCTCATCGGGAAAGCCTCCACTCTCCAGTGCTACACTCAGAATGTCAAAATCGGTCAATTCCTTCTTTTCTAGCTTCGATTTCTTCTCATGAATGAGGTCTCTACAAACAGATCTGATGGTTTCAGCAGCTTCTTCGATTTCCCCATTTCTCTTGATAGGTATTCTTTTTACGAACCATCCTGGTAAGAAAAGCTGGAGAAATCCAAGAATTTGTGCAGAGCGTGTTGGTTTAAACACAGTCCTGTACGTTCTATTCAGTAGTGTGTCGGGGTCCTGGATGGCTCCGAAATCCTTGCCCAGGCCAGCTGCTCCGATTATGTCGAGTGTTATTCTACTTGCCCATTGCATGGCTTCCATTATCACTACGCCTTTCTCTGGCTGAGTGACACTTCCGTCATTTCCGTCTTTTTCTTCGGCTACGTCATTTGGGATATCGCCACATTCTTTCGCCTTGACTTCTTTGGTCATGGCTTTCAACCCTTCGCAAGATTTATCCCAGAAAACGGAATATAAATTCTTAACATGTCGAAACGCAAACGCGGGCATTAGATTTTTTCTCTGTATTTTGTGTTCATCTCCCTCTGCCAAGAGAACGCCAATTCCAAGGAGACGTCCAATTCCGATACGAAGAGTAGAAGGTTTAACGAAATCGTAATTTTTGAGAGTAAGAACTTCACTGAGTGCTTTGGCATTTGTGACCATGACTCGCTCCGAGTTTAACATCCCTAAATATCTTATGATGCCGTCATTTGGAACATCTTGTATCCTATTGCTCAGTTAGCTACATATAGAGATATATAGAGTATAAGATCTCACCAGTCAAGCATAGGCTGACCAGTCGGCTCTCCTGAGATCCTCTTCCATTGACCATTCCACCAACTACCTCCTTTTGGAGAGGGTAAATGTCTCAGTGGAGAGAAATAGTAAGGATACAAGATCACTCTCCAGATCGCAAAGCCTATGAACTGTAACAAGTACAGTTGTACAAATGTTCCCAAGTAGCTCGGCTCGGTGGACAACAATGTATCTGGCTTGTAAGAAACAAGTGCGTAAGAAAGGGTCGTAGGTAAGACCAGCAGTCTTTTAAAAGGAATTGAAGACATGGAGGCGAAAATTTATAACTATCTCAAAGGGGAGAGATATGTTGGCAGAGTACCAAATACTTATATAGCGGGGTCGGATCTAGAAATATGCCGCCTCCGCAGGTCAATTTCCTTCGCAAGCTGAAGTTTCAGTGGAAGTAGAAAGTGGCTTCAGAATAAATGTAAGAGTTGAGACCCCGGCTTATCACACACCACTTATTTTTCGATCTAATTTTTTAAAATTTAATAATAAATCAATTATATAATATAATTTTATAAAACTTGAATATTATATTAATAAATAATAACTAATCCTTGTGCTTCAATTACATTTTTAATCTTGCAAGTTAATCTCTTAATATATAATCTAAAATCTAAGGGATTCACTTTATCTCAGAGAGCTTATAATTCATGTTTCAATTCTTTTATGGAAGTAGGTACAAATGGTAGCTTTTTTAGTTCCTTTTTTATTTATTGTTATACTTTTTCAATTGGATTAAGATTCAGAGAGAAGAATGGCTAATCAAAGTTTTGTATATTATACTCTAATCGAACTCTACAAGTATACTTGGAATACATTTTAGAATTGTTTTTTATAAATATATATTCAGATCCTAATTTATTGAATAATAGGAATATAATAGATTTAAGGATTTATTATATATATACTTTGAAAGTAATACTTTTGTTGCCCTCAAATTTTTCTAAAAAGATTAATAGAGATTTATAATTCTAGTTAATTATACCTTATATTATTATTAATACTTTTTCTAATTAATATATTAATTTAATATAATTAATATATCTTTTTTTATTAATCTATTTAATAATTTATATTCTATTTACTTTTCCTAATTCGAAAGTGTTTTTATTCAACTATATAATTAATCTCTAATCCCCCCCTTCTGGTTTAGTAGTAGTAGTATTACTAATTCCCTATCAGTAATACCTATATATAAAATCTAGCCTCTTTTTTGTTTATATTCTTAAAATAAAGGGTTTAGAATATACTATACATTTTCTATATCTATATTAATATAATTCCTTTTGTATTGTATATATTAAAACCTTAATGTTAAGTATATTTTTAATTTATTTGAAAGTTATTTTTCTTTTGTTTTAATCTTTAATAATCATTCTTATAATTCAATAAATCTTTTTAGTAGTTATTATAGGCTTTTGATAAATCTTTTTTTTTTGAGTTCTTTTAATCGAATTGAACTTAATTATATTTCTTGTAATAGATCGTGATATATTTAAATTTGAGGCAATCCATTCCCAGGATTTTCTATTAATTCTAGTTTGAATAACTCTAGAACATTGAGGAGTATACTAATTTTGATGAAATTTATAATTATTATTTTTGTGATTATATTTAATATTTAATTTGAATTTGAATTGAAAATAATAAATTTTAGAATAATAATTAAATTTTTAAAATAAGGTGTGTGAAATTAGATGGCTACTCTAATCTTGTTTAAATGTGCGATAAGCCGGGGCCTCAACTCTTACAAGTATGATAATTTGCCACGGATGGATTTCTTGTACAGGTAATAGAGGTCAATTGAATCCAAAAGCACCTAGTACATCTGCTTCGTCACAAGTTTCA